CCAGTTCAGATATTTTCTTAGCTATCAGCAACAGTGGACATGACCTTTTCAAATTATTAAAGGTTTACATGCTGATGTGTATTTCAGGAGATAAACTTTGAAGTCTTTTAAAAGTCAATTTCTAAGAGTATAAGGACAGGCCTTCAAAAGAGATGTGTGTTGAATAAATTATTCACTAGAACAGAATTAGTTTGGTATTTTTATGTTCCATAACTGAGCAATGAACTAAAAAACTGAAAGAATGTTTTAAGCTAAATTCTACAATTGGAATTACATAGATTATATGACAAACACATTGCATATTATATATAACATACAATGTACCTATATCTTATATGCTATATAAATTCATATTAATATATTATTCAAAATGCCAAATGTAGACAAAACAAACCTCTAAGGGATGCAAGTTATAAAACAGGTAAAATCAATTTAATCATCTCAGCTTAAAATGTATTTTAAAAAAATGTATAGTCCTCAGTTATTCATGAATTCCACCTTTGAAAGTTACTCATCAAAATTTATTTGTGAGGCTAGAAGAATGTCTCAGTGGTTAAGAGTACTGGCTGCTCTTCCAGAGGACCTGGGTTCAATTTCCAGCACCCACATAGAGACTCACACCATCCATGACTCTAGTTCCAGGGGATCTGATGCCCCCTTCTGGCCTCCAAGGGCACCAGGTACACCCATGGTGCACAGACATACATGCAGGCAAAACACTCATAACACATAAAATAAATAAATAAAATTAATTTGCAATCTGTGTTAGTGTTCCACAAGTATGATAAATCCCTGACATAATCAACTTGTCATTTTGGGGTTTCAGTCCTTTTACTGATGGAACATAGGGTGGAGAAAACTATCCACCTTATGGCTGGAAGTGAAAAGCTTGGGGTCCCACAATCCTCATCAACAGCAAGCCTTCAAACACCTGCAGCATTCTTCAGGTGACCTTTGCCCAGGACCATCTTAAAGATTCCATAGCATCCCAGAAATACCAATCTGAGGACCAAACATATAACTCACAGCATTTCAGATCTACACTAAACAACTCTAAAATCTCTGGGGTCATTTAGGGCCAAATACAGAATAGCACATTATTTTTGAGTTACCTAACACTATATTCCTAGCTCAAGTGAAAGATAATGCTCTGCCTTCTTTTAGGCTAATGCCATGCTTTTACCACCTGTGTGAGTTTTGTTGACAGCAGAGTGCTGAAGGGGTGTCTGCAACGTGCCTGATGGAGAGGATAAGGATTGCTGCAAGCTTCTGTCAGGAATTTATCACGTAGTTCTCTTAGCCATGAGTTCATCAACCATATATGCTTAATAAGGTGTCTTTGCAGAGAAACACAATAAAAACAAGATTATATTTGGATTAGTTGAAAAAAATTACAAGGCCAGTCTTCCAGAAACCTAGACCTCAGGGCCCTGGTTCAACACAACATTCGCTGATTGAGCACTTGTGATGCCTTTAGGATGCATTTACCACAACTAGCAGGAATGAAGATGAGGCCATAAGCCATACTTCACTGTTGGTAATTTCTTTATTATATTTTATTGTTTGTCTTGTTTCAAGAATATAAAAAAGAAACCAAGATTAATTTCCAATGTAAGACATACATACATATGTCTTGTTTCTTCAATGTTGGTTACATCAACTTCTCCAAGTCTCTGGAAATTTAACTAGCTGACAACAAAATGAGATGCCACAGCCCATGAATCTCCTGGATCCCTCACCTGCCTTCATTTGGCGCAGAGTTTATAAGAAAACATTGTGGTGATAAGTACTGGCTAACGGACATCTCAAGGCTCCTGTGGAATATTCCAGTTCTGTTAACATCTAACCTGAGATTCAGGTTATATGAATGAGCAGATGGTTATATATGTCCTGTAGGCTATTGAACAGCAGATTTTGAGCTATTTCCGGTCTATACTTTCTTTTTTGGTTAGAATCCTTAAAATGATCCTAGAGGAGGAGGAATCTGTGTCTTTGTCCAAAGACTTCCCCTGGTTCCCCCCTGATCTAAGCACTGATCTAAGCACCAGGCTGTTCTCATTAAGGCTCCAGTGTGTTGCCATTCTCTCTGTGTGGCATGGGAGAAAAGGGATCAATTTCCAGCTACACCTTCTCAAAACCATCAACCCACTGGCTCATTACTGCTCAGGTCCCTTCTGTGCTTAACTGCATGGGCAGGTGGTCACAGCGGGACAGCACTGTGGCGGGCCTGGCACAGCTCTGGCACAGCACTCTGCCCCAGGGGTTAGAAACTCCAGGGGTGGACTGGGCCTCATTCTTGCGGTAGCTGCTTAGTGTCTGCCTTGTCATTAGGGAATAACGATTTGCTTTATTTTAAGACAGAGTCTTGCTGTGTAGCTCAGGCTGTTCTTGAATTCCTGATCCTCTTGCCTCAGCCTCCTGTGTGGAGATTAGAGGGGAAAATCACCACACCCATTTGGGGACAATGATTTTTTTTTTTAAGTTGAGAATCCTGAAGATCACATATCAGTGTCCAGAAAACTGATAAACGAAGCAATTTTCTACTTTCACTTTAAGAATTTCAAGTGGCCCCTGGACAGGCAGCAGCCTGTTTCCAAAGGTACACAGCCTTTTAGGTAGAGCTAGGACATGAGGCCTTGACTAGGTGGATGTAGAGAACTGAAGAGTCAACAGCTGCCCCCAGAGAATAAATCCCTCATTCAAACAGGTGAATGATGAGCCATGTCCAGATCAGAAAGCTGTGCTTCTGTCATACTTAGAAAGTTAGAAATGTTTAGGATTTCATTAGAAAGTCCTCCGTCCACACGGGGAGATGACATGAAGAAGAGGCCTTCAGTGTCTCCAAGAAAGGGAAGGTGGTTTTGTTTGTTTGTTTTGTTTTGATTTGTTTATTAGTGTAGCCCAAGTTCTCAGGAGGGTGGTGTGTATTCAGAGAGTATTGTGGTGATATTGTGTCCTCCAATATATTGTGCACCCTAATAAACTTATCTGGGGTCAGAGGACAGAACAGTCACTAGATAGACATAGAGGCCAGAAAATGGTGGCACACACACCTTTAATCCTATCACTTGGCAGGCAGGGATCTGTCTGGATCTCTTGAGTTCAAGGCCACACTGGAAAACAGAGCCAGGCATGGTCGCACACACCTTAAATTCCAACACTAGTTAACCATGGACAGGAAGTGACAGAGCTGGGCAGGAAGAGGAAGTGATGCCGCTGGACAGAAAGCAAATCAGATGGCAGAACAGCAAGGCATATAGGCGTGCCTAGACAGGAAGTAGCTCGCCTTTGGAAGCTGTAGAGTTGGCAAGGTGAGGTTAGCTATGGCTTTCTTTATTTCCCTGATCTCTCAGGTTTTCACCCCTATATCTGGCTCCATGTTTTTATTAATAAGACCATTTAGCACGTTGTCTATAGAGTATCATTAGAATATTATTAATAAATAGATCAGCAAGGTTTTGGCAAGCATGTTGCATATACGGTCTAGCATCATATTGACTAAACAATGATTGAATATGTTCTTGGCTGGTAAACATAGATTTGCTCTCTCGCTTGTTAATGTCCCAGAATCTCATCCTATGTAGGCCCACTTTACAAGGTAACTTTTAATATGTTATTCTTTCTCTTTAAAATTATCCATTCATTTCTCTCTTGCAGCACGGGATGCCATGACTTGAGTTGAGGAGGAGAAATGAAATTGGATATTTTTAAGGGGGAGCTAAATTTTTGGTTTAAAATTGGTTTGAATACATCGAATGGAACAAAAAGGAAAGAAATGTGAAGGCTGGAAGAAGTTGGAAGACAACCAGGCGTAAGGTGTATTTGACAATGTTTTTATATACCACATTTCTCCCTTGTACATGCTATTTCTATATGAGGAAAGAACCTTAATCCCTCCTGCTCTGAAACAGGAATGGGGCCCAGCAAAGCTAATGATCATTATGTCCTGTTGAGGTAGCGCCAGGTCTGGTATCAGAAATAAACACAGTCTTGGGCACAGAGAGTGAGCCTGCCATGTTTTGAGAATTTGAATAGGGTAGTTTAGCTAGAATTAAGAGGTTATAGAGAAACGTCTTAGGAAATTTGGCTTGAGAAATAAATGAGAGTTGGATGTGGTGGCACATACCTGTCACCCAGCACTTAGGAGACAGCGGTAAGAAAATCAAAGAGTTCAAGGCCACCTGAGCTATATGATACCTAGTCTAAATAAATAAGAGATAGATTACAGAGTGCCCTAACTAGTACAAATAAAAAATGGGTTTATCTGTGTCTGTAATGTTGAATAAAATCCTTTTTAGAAATCTTACGAGAGGTCAATATGCACAATAACTTAATGGAAGCAATCTTCTGCCCCCGGCTCCTGGGCAGAATGATGAGGACCGGACAGCAGCTGGCTGTGAGAAAGACTGATGCCCTTTCAAGTGTTTTAGTCACTGACAATTATATATCCTATGCTGTCAGAGGAGAAAACCCAGTATCATTTCCCTCTTCCAGTTTTCTTCCCTTTTACAAACAGATGAAGGAGGGAAAGAAAATGTTCTTTTAAAGAGCTGCCCCTTGTTCTGATCAGGAGCAAGTGAAAGCACGTAAGAATTCACAGAAAGTCTAGTCTTCAAGGACAGGAGGTCTTTGGTGCCCCAAACTAGTGAGGAAACGGTGTTTTCCATTTCAAGTCACATTTAGTGGGAAGAAACTCACAGACATTTAGACTTTTAAATCCTTTCCCCACTAGTGGAGGGCGGTATAATTAAGTGCTGTACTTCGAGCATTGGTATTACAATTGTTTTTTAAACAAAAGACTTTACTTGTGCTTTACTAAAAACCAAGACGGTGAATCTTGAATAGCAGACGTGCCACCCACGGCAGGCATTCTGTTGTGTGTGGTTTTGACTGAGGAGGGATGACAGCGGCTTTTGGCCAGCTGCATTTGCGGACCCTCTCCACCTCCTGTGCGGCTTCTGTCACTGGTGATGCAAATGCGCCCGCCCTTTTCTGGGAACACAGAAAGCCTGAGTCAGGCGGGCTCTGGCTATTAAAGCGCTGGGTCGGGAGGGGCAGCAGGCACTTCAAGGATGAGGCTTCCCGGCTGGTTCTGGCTGAGCTCCGCGGTCCTCGCTGCCTGCAGAGCAGGGCAGGTGCACAACCTGACCGAGGGGCTGGAGGATGCGAGCGCCCAGGCTGCCTGCCCTGCGAGGCTGGAGGGCAGCGGGAAGTGCGAGGGGAGCCAGTGCCCCTTCCAGCTCACCCTGCCCACGCTGACCCTCCAGCTCCCGCGGCAGTTCGGCAGCATGGAGGAGGTGCTCAAAGAAGTACGGACCCTCAAGGAAGCCGTGGACGGTCTGAGGAAATCCTGCCAGGACTGCAAGTTGCAGGCTGACGACCATCGAGACCCGGGCGGGATGGCCTCCGACAGCAGAGTCCAGGAACTGGAGAGTCAGGTGAACAAGTTGTCCTCGGAGCTCAAGAATGCAAAGGACGAGATCCAGGGGCTGCAGGGGCGCCTGGAGACGCTCCATCTTGTAAATATGAACAACATCGAGACCTACGTTGACGACAAAGTGGCAAATCTAACGTTTGTGGTCAACAGTTTGGACGGCAAATGTTCCAAGTGTCCCAGCCAAGAGTTAAGCCAGCCACAGCCGGGTAGGTGCAATGAGGTTCTTACCATTTGTTCGTGAATGCTGTATAGAGAGATAGTGGCCATAAACATTAACCCGAGGGAGTAAGTTAATAAGCCTTTCATCTATTGGTTACAGAAGGAGAAACAGGTATTTTCTCAAGTGAGAAGTGGTAAAGGATCTAATTACGAAAATCCTATTAGTTGTATCCAATAGAAACACTTTCAGTCAGTCTCTAGACTTACACAGGAGCAGAAGCAGATTCCTCCCGGGGTTGGTGCATTTAGCCTGTCTCACTGTGTCAAGATAGATATTGCAAAGTTCCTGGCTGTGCTTACTTAGGTCACGGAAATGAGGTGTTGGGTGGTGGCGGGCCACTTCTCAGAGCAGCAGGTGGTTTTGAAAGGCTTTCACAAACAATCTGCTGTGCTCTCAAATACCTAGTGAGAATGGGAGATTTTATACATAGAATAAAAGCAGCTTCATGTGTATGCCAAACTTTTTGGTTTAAGACTTAGTGGCACATCCAGCCTCACCATCCCAATAATACTATTTTTAAAGACCACAGACTAACGGCCTACTGTGCCCATGGCATTGTCGACTGTGATTCCTGAATTCCCAGGACCTTTGCTGATGGTCTTGCCACACCCTACCTAGCAGGCCACTTCTATGTTAGGATCTGTGCTCATCCTGACTGTGAGGTTAATGGGACATAGTAGAGATCACTTTCATGTGGAATCTCCTGGAGGTCATGGTGTCAAGGACCACTGTCACCAATGACCCTGGTAGCCTGGATGGAATTCACTCTGCATATCACCAGGTAGATGCTGATGTTTTAAGTGACATCACAAGGTGTATATTAGGTATGGCACTGCACAGTGATTTGTAATGATACAAAAAAAGATTCTATTACTTTTCTCCTAAATGTTTTAGAAAATGAAATATTACGAGTTAGAAATACACATAGATTTTTGTGCCTCACAAGTATCTTACATTAAACTTACTTTATTTGACTCAAATTTTTATAAAAATTGACTGGGAATGAATAGTTAGTCTCTGATCTCTACAAAACCCTGTTGACCGATTATACTGCGCACAATCACCCTGATGCTTCATCTAGAAATCAAACTGTGAAGCATTGGTTGACTATGCCTTCCTGAATAATAAATTCAGAATAATATTGGTATATTATTGGGGAAAGCATTTTTTTTTTACTTGAACCTCTTTATATAGTTGTCAGGTAAAATGAAAGTGAGTTTCTGAGCAATGTTGCGGCAGGGAGAAGGTTGACCCTTCATTTGGAACATATCCTAGAACATTTTCTGATTGTGTCTAGAGTGCAGTCCCAGGAGACTTAGATTCATCTCAGCTTTAGGACTGTGGAAAGTGATGGTTATGAGAACAAGTTCTCTGTTAGGCAGATTTGACTTTATGTCCTAGCTCTTCACACTTGTTTGAAGTGGGAAAAATCATCGATCTTCTCTGAGACTAATGACCTTGTAAGCAAGCTGGCAGTAACACCTACCGCACAAGGCTGATGGGTGGATTCAACCCCAAACATCACAGTGCTTGGCCAAGCTTCTGGAGGTAGTTGGTCATCGTTAAACCTTGTTATAGTTGTTCTACTGTTGTTTGTTGTTAGCACTGCCACCGTTACTACCAACCATGACAGTCCTGTTACCCAGGTCCTGGTGAGAGTATCAGAGCCAAGTTCCATTATCACCATTAACTAACTTATCAAATTGTTTTTGAGTCTAAGAATTCTTCAGATGCATAACTTTTATTAACAAAATTCCATGCTTTTCTCTCTTCCTTCTTTCAGTTCAACATCTAATATACAAAGATTGCTCTGACTACTATGCAATAGGAAAGAGAAGCAGTGAGACCTACAGAGTCACACCTGATCCCAGACACAGTAGCTTTGAGGTGTACTGTGACATGGAGACCATGGGGGGAGGCTGGACCGTGCTGCAGGCTCGCCTTGATGGAAGTACCAACTTCACCAGAGAATGGAAAGACTACAAAGTAGGCTTTGGAAACCTTGACCGAGAATTTTGGCTGGGTAATGATAAAATTCATCTGCTGACCAAGAGTAAGGAAATGATTTTGAGAATAGATCTTGAAGACTTTAATGGTGTCACACTGTATGCCTTGTATGATCAGTTTTATGTGGCTAATGAATTTCTCAAATACCGATTACATATCGGTAACTACAATGGCACAGCGGGAGATGCCTTACGTTTCAGTAAACATTACAACCACGATCTGAAGTTTTTCACCACCCCAGACAGAGACAATGACAGGTATCCCTCTGGGAACTGCGGGCTCTACTACAGCTCAGGCTGGTGGTTTGATGCATGTCTCTCTGCAAACTTAAATGGCAAATATTATCACCAGAAATACAAAGGTGTCCGCAACGGGATTTTCTGGGGCACCTGGCCAGGTATAAGCCAAGCACAGCCTGGTGGCTACAAGTCCTCCTTTAAGCAGGCCAAGATGATGATTAGACCCAAGAATTTCAAGCCATAAATTGCTAGTGTTCATCTCTCCAGGCACTCACTATCTAAAGGCAATGAATTCCTTCTGACCTTTATCATATGCTTGAGTTTATATTCCTTTCCTATGGCTGAAACACTTCCTTTTAAACTTCACAGCTTTTAAATAAAGCTAAAAATAGCTAAAAAGACCACTTTGTTCCTGTTATACAAGGAATGCTTGAAAGCTCTGGAAATATTGACAATTATACATTATATTTTCAAACCCTTTAATTTTTATTAGTTGAAAAGGTTTCCTACTATAATTATTATTTTTTACAATTAAAAAACTAAATTATTCAGCAAGCTAAATTCTATATAAGCAACTTTTATTTTTACTAGAGCTAAACATGCATATTTGAAAATATATCAGTCTTTTCAGGCCAAAGTTATTCGTGTATCTGTAGCCAAGAACTGTAGTATTTTGTTTGACCCAAGAAGACCTTAAAGCATTTTATTTCTCAAAAAAGAAGCGGGGTGTGGGAGTGTGGAGGGGGAGTAATATGTGTAGCTAAAATTATTCATGTAATATTCATGAAATGTAGAATATGGCATTAAAATACCTTAAAATTCGGTAAAATAATGTCTCTTCCCCATCCAAACTGGAAACTGATGGAACCCTGAAGACTTTGGTTTAGAGGTAATTCATTCACTGTCTACAGCCTGTCAGAACCTGATGCAAATGCTGCTTTGTTGTCAGCCTCTGCTCTACATGCACAATAGTTTCTAATGTAAGGTGCTAGACTACTGTAAGGCTTCCTCGGGGAAAGGCATAGGAGGGTGAAAACATCTATTTATACTTTGAAAGCCAATCCTATACCCAAAGCAATACTATTGTTGAGGGATCAACTTCCTAGGAAGCTGACTTTTCTAGAATAACTTTATTTATTTAAGATGAATTTTGAAATAGTTCAAATGTTATACATTTTAATCCTAGTCAATTGCTTATTTCACTCTCAGAAATTCAAAGAAAAAGTACACACACACACACACACACACACACACACACACACACACACACTCCAAACATAAGTTCCTAGAACTTTGAGAATTCCTTAATTGTGTAATGCCAAAGATCATATCACAAGGCTTTAGGAGCAGTTTCATTTTTATCATTCTGAAAAGGGGCCCCTTCAGAGAGAAACAACCAGCTGCACATTTTAAAATGCTTTTGAGTGGAATGTGAAGTGCTGTATGTGGTCAGTCTTATGAAGTAACTAACTGTACAGTATGCAATGTGTAAGCAACAACTATGATCTTTAAAGTTTTGGTGTGGTTTCCAATATACTAACCAAGCTTTAAAATATATTTGTGAAGATTCAATTTCACTTATATTTTGCATACAATTAGGGAGAACAGTTACTGACTTTACTACTTAAATTTTTGAATATGTAGCCATTGTAGAAAAATCTTTAAAAGGTACAAGATATTATTTTAAAAATATGAAACATGAAGTTTTAGGTAAATACAATGAAAATGAATCTATTGTTAATATAATTAAATTACTAGAGTAATGTAAATACATGCTAATTAAGTGACCAAAATATAAAATGTAGATTTCAAAGACTGTTTACCTACTTGGTAGGATATTGAATGTAAGTGGCATAATTGACTTTATTTTTTCTTTAAAAAAAAAGACCAAGAAGATTTTGATATTATACAATATACATGTTTCCAATCCGTCTACTCTATATAACTGTATAGGTCTAAGGATGTTTCAGAAAAGTATACACACATGTGTAGTGTGTCTTTTTCAGGGAAGTTTGGTGAATAACATGTAAATTATCTTTGCACATGCCATGGATCAAAATGATTTTTTCTATTATACTCTTATGATGTTTTTCTAATGAGCTCTTTAACACAGAAATTTACTTTTGAAATCATTTTCTGTCACTCATTAAAAAATATATTGTAGAGTTTGATAATCTTTAAACTGTTTACTGAAATAGTCCTTTGTCTTAATTGTTCACTAATATATGCCAATGCTCATAAATGTATACTATTTGCAAATATATATTTCTACAGTCTTGGTTTTATTTGGGTGATTAACACTGATTTTAATTATTACTTTATTGCTGAACATTATTATCCTTTAAAAATGCTGAGTGAAACTAATTTCTTAGGAATTTGGCTGATTCATATATCACTGAAAGAAAACGTAATTTTGCTGATAAGTAGTAATGCACCAAATGTATTCATGTATCTGATGAATAGAGCTTGTATATGCAGAACATAAGAAGCATATGAACCACAATATTGGCTGGTCTTCACAATATTGGTAGCTTCCCCTCACCCCTCAAAAAGTTTTAAAGATAAAAATGGATGTATGTAGTTACAATAAACTCTTGTCTAAAAATTTTCTTCACTGATGTATAATTAAGGTTATGTTTCATGTCTCTTTAAAGCCTGGAAAAATAAAATACTTAATCTTCATATCTATCCTTCAATATGAAAACATGGCTTGTAAAGTGACATTTACATATCTATTATTATCTGAAAAGTTGAATTGTATTTACCTAGTCTAGAGAATATCCTGCATCTTTAAAAAGTACTGAGTATTATTTCTTTAAAAGGAAGTGAGGCAGATAGAGGAACATCGTTATCTATTTCCTTTTAAACGCTGTTAACACACCCTCAATACAGAATTTTCAGTTTGTGGCATTTAGCTCTCTCTCCTCTTTGCTCTCATTCATGTTACTGACAGGGTTAGCACTCCTTTCCTTACGATGCAGACTCTTAGCAAGGTCTTCCTTATTGACTGTGAAGAGCCAGAAATGAGAAAACAGGTTCACTTGGAGAACCTGGCAAACAGCACTCCCCAACGTGATTGAGTCTCCCTCCCTTAGTGTTTGTTGACGCTCTCTTTGTTTGCCTGGAAGACACTGTTGCTTTCTTTGCTAAAGGAATGGTTTAATTTCTCCAAACTCCCCCATTCTACACAAATCTTTAACAAGGGCATGCTCTGATATCAAGCATAAAACCACACAGGTGGTAAGGTCTTTGCACACCCTTGCCAGTTTAGCAAGAATGTGAAGGAAGACGTATTTACACAGATTTTGAGGTAGTGTGACAAGGAAGAAGAAATTTTAGAAGTGGTTGAGTTTGTTGGTGTATGTACATTCAACAAAATTATCCATTTAAAAATGAGTCAAGGAGAAATGTTTTGCTCTAATACTTTGCCTACCTAATTAACATAAACCTATATTCAATGGCAGCTTATGTTAATAAAGCTGAGAAGCCAGAAATGTCTTAAAAATCAAAGACTTTTTGGAGGTAAGAAGTCTGTGTGGAGTTTGCCTTAATTAATTTAACAGATACTTGCATGTGTTCCAGAAAGTCTCCTTGGAAGATAGTGTGTACCATTGACCAACACAGATAAGCCCTGCACTCTGAGTTTAAACCAGGAGAAACTTTCGTGAGGAAAGAGCAGGCAGATGTGAGAGAGTTAGAGGAGGTGCTAATTAGTACAGGGTATGCAGGGGAGACCTCTCTGTGGTAATGACATGCTAACAGATGTAGAGAAAGGACTAAGAAAGATGAGAAAATATCTGAGAAGAGCAAGTTCCAAGCCAAGGGAGCAAGAAGCATCAACGTTTGGAGTCTGGAGAGCAGTTGGCACATTTGAGAGTCAGCAAAGGGACCCATGTGTGAAAAGCAGAGTCTAGCCTGCTGGGGTTAAGAAAGTAAGACAAGAGAGAAGCGTAAAGGGCTGTGAGTGAACAGAGGGGAGCGCCACTGTGCCTTGTGAACAAGGATGCTTCTCATGCTGAATAGATAGAAAGTGATGTTTTGAACAGAGGAGGGACATCATCTCCTCCAGTTCAAAAAGGATGGCTCTCTTGCTGTGGATAAAGGGCTTTTCCAGTATGATAGTGCTTACACTACGTTGCTGAGGGAAGACAAAAGCACAGACTTCAGTGTTTATGGTGAAGTCCATCTGTTTTGAGGTGGATCTGACAAGATTTGATGGTCAAAGTCAGTTGTGGATAGCAAAATAGATAAATGAAATAAAAAAAATAGAGGTGTCACCTCAAACCTCTACTTCAGACTGAGTAACTTTGGAAGATGGAGCTGTCATTAACTGAAACGAGGAAGTCGTCTGCAGAGGGAATCTGTATGATGAGTGGCTAAGAGTCAAGTGAGGGTTGGTAGCCACAGTTTAGAACATGTGAACTTCAAACACCTCCAGGTGGAATTCAGGAAGAACACCTCAGGTTTAGAAATGCATTTGAGAGTTGCTCAGTTACAGATGTGATGAACCCATGGGACCAGAAAAGATAACCCAGTAAATAAGTGGACACGGAACACAGATTTTTCTGCAGGAGACTGGACCAATTCACCTTGCAAAGAGGTTGGAGGTAAAGAGTAACCAGGATCCAGCCATCCTGTGATTGCACCAGAGAGGTCTCAGGGATGTCTCCATCAGAGGGAGGATTTCACTCCCACAGGACGGCGTATGGGTTCTAGATCATTTTAGTTTCGGATTTGCTTTTCATGCTAGCAAAAAAGTACTTTCTTACTGAGTCTTGTTGTATGTCTTAGATACCATTATGGTGTTAGCAATGTTCTTCTGTTGAATTAATTGCTGTCTTAAAAACAAGTGTGGTGTTACACATTGGAAAATACTTATTTTGACTTGGAAAATCATCCACCATAAAAGAAGGAGTCAATGACCTTTCAGAGCCTCAGATTCTGTCCCTCTGGGACTCCAAGTTTGTTGACAGCATACTATCTAGTTTGACAAATTATTTAATATCATTAGGGTACAACATTGTCATGATTATGACTAGTTTAACACATATCAATTTTAGTCCTTTTTTTTTAAGAGATATCACTGATGTTGAATTATTTCTTTCACAAGCATTTTATAAGAGTTACCCAAGTTAGAGGTGGCCTGAACTCAAATTCTGAGTCCTTCTCATCATATTAGCCCTGGATGAGGATGACGGCAATGTGCACCAACCCTGCATGGGACACGCTCCCAGGACACTTCCAGCATTTGCTGTTCTCGGTGGTAAAGCTGCACAGGGAGGCAATGTCTTCCATCTCACACACAGAAGCTTCCCGGGAGGGGAGCTGTCTACCAACTGTCAGCCATTTGTGGGCCATCATCCATTTCCAGCTTTCCTGACATTCTTGGTGTATTTCTAAGAAGGACTAATTTTCTACAGAAATGCTCAAACAGTGACCTTCATTATCATTCCTCCTTGACTTTCTTTTAAATCTTAGAAAATGGAAAATAACTCCAAATTATATCTTGTTTGAGCTGAAATTGTATCTTATTAAAACAACTATATAATTTTTTGGACAGGAGACATTTTTAAATTAATGTATTTTCAAGGGTGTTAATGTCCTACTTAACCTCGTGTTTAAAAACTGTCCTCCTGAAGCTAAGTCAGATTTGTAACAGCGCTGACAGAAAGGGCAATCAGGTCCTCATGCTGTCCAAACACTACTTGCTCCATGGTTACATGGCACGATTCACTGCTAGATACATTTTGCTCAAACACAAAGTACTTTGCAAGTTATCTGAAAGCTGAACAACTTCTTGTGGAAATGCCAAAGTTCTTATTTTCATTTGTTAAAGAAAACAATTTTTATAAAGCTTATCACTTGAAAATAAGTGATATTAGTGAGGGTTACTTTAAAAAAAATTCTATCCTATCTGAGCAAATGTTTAAAATTTTTTGAGATTTCATTTATTTGCATTTTATGTGTATGAGTGTTTGCCTGAAT